CCCCCCTTCCCCCTTCATAATCTACACTCATCAGTTTTCTTGCTGTCTTTCTCTTTAGGGAAAAAATGCATTTTTCAAAGACCTAACTTCAATTCAGTTATTACCTAGTGGGGAAATGGATCCAAATTTCATTTCTGTACGACAACAGGTAAATTACAGCTATTGGATTTTGTTTTTGTTTCTTGGAAAAAAAACAGTAAAGGAAAAATCTAGCTTGCTTTTGAAAAGAATGACCACTTTCTATCGCAAGGACAGAAAACCAAACACCACATGTTCTCACTCATAGGTGGGAATTGAACAATGAGGTCACTTGGACACAGGAAGGGGAGCATCACACACCGGGGCCTATCGTGAGGTGGGGGGAGGGGGAAGGGATAGTATTAGGAGATATACCTAATGTAAATGATGAGTTAATGGGTGCAGCACACCAACATGGCACATGTATACATATGTAACAAACCTGCATGTTGTGCACATGTACCCTAGAACTTAAAGTATAAATAAATAAATAAATAAAATAATATTTTTAAAAATGACCACTTTCAAAGTATTCTTGAAAGCTAGTTGTTTACCTTTAAATGATGTGTTCCTTTTTTGATAATTAAACAATTTCATGGAAAAGCCACTGTAAGTGACAAAAAAGCTAACAATACTTTGATTTAGGTATTTTAAAATGAAACAGTAACAATATATTGCTGTATCTCTTTTTCCATTTTCAAGTTCTTATTGAAAGTTGTCAGTGCAGCTGTCCAGGCCCAACATTCAGCCACAAAGGTCAAAGATCCCACAGAAGAGGCCACACCCACTCCTTTTGGGAAAGACCAAGATTGGCCAGCTCTAGCTTTGGATTTAGCCCATCACCTTCAAGTTAGTGAAGATGTTGTTAGAAGGCATTATGTTGGGGAGCTATACAACTATGGAGTTGACCACTTAGGAGAAGAGGTAACATGACCCTTTGAATGTTAATTGGGCTCAAGTTATAAAATTGATAGTTGGAATAAAGACTCTCCAATGAAGCCTTTTGCTCTTCCTTTTGTTGGAACATCTAGGTACAAAAATAGAACAATATACTATTTTTTAAAACATAAAATTATAATCAAATAATTCCTACAGTGTGCCAGGCCTGCCCCTATGCACAGGGATATAGCAGTAAACAAAACAGACAAGGTTCCTTCCTCATGAACTTGATAGTCTGCTGGTAGGAGCAGAAAAGCAGGCTAAATTTTGCATTGATTGGTAGGTGCTATGAAGAAAATAAAGAGGGCCGGGTGTTGTGGCTCACACCTGTAATCCCAGCACTTTGGAAGGCTCAGGCGGCAGATCACTTGAGCCCAGAAGCTCGAGACCAGTCTGGGCAATATAGCGAGACCCCATCTCTAAAAAGGAAAAAGAAACAGGATCATATGAATAAACAGGAGCCACTACAGTAGAGTGGGCAGAGAATGTGACATTTGAACCGAGCCCCTAAGGAGAAGCAGCAGCCAGCTACTCAGAAACTGGGGGAACAGTGCTTGAGACAAGAATTACAAAGGCCCTGAGGTGGGGACTAGAATGACTAGGTCCAGGACTAGAAAGGCCAGTACGGCTGACGAAACATAGTAAGCAAGGAATAAAGAAGTGTGGCATGAGGTAGGGAGGCTGGCCCAGGCCATGGCTGTATCCTAGGTCTCGGAGCCCATGGTTATTCCAAGTGTATTCAGAAGCCATTAGAGGGGCTGGGCGTGGTGGCTCACGCCTGTAATCTCAGCACTTAGAGAGGCCGAGTTGGGTGGATCACTTGAGGTCAGGAGTTCAAGACCAGCCTGGGCAACATGGTGAAACCCTGTCTCTACTAAAAATACAAAAAATTAGCCGGGCATGGTGGCACACGCCTGTAATCCGAGCTACTTGGGAGGCTGAAGCAGGAGAATTGCTTGAACCCAGGAGGTGGAGACTGCAGTGAGCTGAGATTGTACCACTGCACTCCAGCTTGGGTGGCAGAGTGAGACTCCATCTCAAAAAAAAAAAAAAAAAAAAAAAAAAAGCCATTAGAGGGCTTCAAATAGACATGACATGAAACTCCCTTTATTTGCCAAAAGTTTGAAAACAACACACTGAGTAGCCATATTGAATTGAAAGATTAAGTGATGAGAAAAAAAAAAAATTAACCAAGGAGCAGAAATTTGGGTTTAAATGCTAAGTTTGATTTGGATTTATCTTTGGTTGTATATAATCAAAAGATAAATGGCCACAGTTCAAAAATCAACTAGAATGTCTTCAATGGCAACCTCATTCCTATAGAAGAAACACATCTGCTCACTCTGACTGTATTATTTCTCCATGTTCCTATCTTCAGGCCATTCTACAGGTTCATGACAAAGAGGTCCTTGCCTCTCAGCTGCTGGTGCTGACGGGGCAAAGGCTGGCTCATGCGCTTCTCCACACCCAGACAAAAGAAGGAATGGAGCTGCTTGCCAGACTTCCACCCACACTGTGTACTTGGCTGAAAGCAATGGTCAGTACAATAGATCGAGATCAGGCAAAAGGTCATTTTCTTGAGTGCCTAGTTAATAAGTTGTGAAGAAAATTTGACAAATGTAATTCACCTACTTACAAAGAAAAGCATTTTTATGTAATAACTCTTAAGTCAGTAACAATTATTTAGTTGTCTATAATAGGATATTTTTGTGTCCCATTTGCAGGACCCCCACGACCTTCAAAACACTGAAGTGCCAATTGCAACAACAGCTAAACTAGTAAATAAAGTAATCGAGCTTTTACCAGAAAAACATGGGCAGTATGGTCTAGCCTTACACCTCGTTGAAGCTGTGGAAGCCGTATCTCTTCCTTCTTTATGACACTTACCTACTGGAAATAGTCTAAAATTATGATTATAACATGAAGTAGTGCATGGTTATTTTACATAGTAAGACCTGGAATTTTATGGGGAAAGTATGTCTTTTTTTTTTTCCTTTTGTAAAATAAATAAAAGTATATACAACTTTTTAAAAAGTACAACCCTGGCTAAATTCCACTCCTTTGGTTAATATTGAAGACAAAATATAAACAAATATCAACTCTGTTATAATTAATACAGATGTTTTACTGTTTATTTCTAATTCAAACACTTAAATAGCTTTATTGTTAACCTTTGCTATTTAAAATTGATTATAATTTAGATTATGTTCTTATAAGATTCTATATTTCCTATCGAAAATGTTGTTGTAATTCAATTTAAATGTGTTCATGTACGGTCCCCATCAGTAGAGTATAGAAACACCCCACTCTCCTTTAGTACATGTTGAGAAAATGCCTTTGTTGTCATGCTCCAAATCCCACATGGGCTGCCACCTGGGAGCTCTGGATACCGAAAGCTTCCTTTCCCAGAGGTTCTGCTGTTGCCATCAGAGGAGGATGACCATGCTTGAGGAGGAAGAATGGGTTCAAGATCATCATATTCATCAGAAGGGGACACTAAACAGAACCCTTAACCTGTTGTACTTGCCAAAATTGAGAATAAGAGGTGTGTACAATGCAGCAAATTAATTATAATGTAAGTTAAGATTTGCTTTTTGCAAGTTGCAAAGTTGTATCCACATCAGGTCACTGTAAAAATGTATTATCTTGTAAAACTTATGTAAAAAAAAAAAAAAAAAGGCAAAGATACTAAAAATTTTAAGTCCAACTTTTATTTTTCCTACAAGTGTTTAGAAATGCTTCTGGGATTTGCTAATTGTTATCTTGGGAACAGTATTGAAAAAACTGCTTAGTGATATTACAGCTTTAGCAAACCTACCTCACAGCTGGGATGAGAGGATAAAATACAACTAATTTTGTACCCTATAGTGCCTAGAGCAGTCCAAGTGCTAAATATTTACTGACTGAAACCAAACTATAGCTACTCGGGAGGCTGCAGGACGATCGCTTGAGCCCAGGAGTTTGAGGCCATCCTGGGCAATATAGCCAGACCCTGTCTCGAATAAAAAAAAAAAAAAGAAAGAAAAAGAAAAAACCAAACTAACCAAAACTCTGTAAAAGAGTGCTTTGAGCTCTACAAATACCAAGTATTTATTATGGTATATTTTTAGAATGTAGCCCTACAGTGTAATTATGGGTATGTGTCATGGATCACAATTATTATTCATAGTAAGTCATTGTGATACAGAAGTTTGTTTCTTCACTTCCCCTTAAGAAGCCAACTATAGTAATCATGCAAAGTTGAGGAGTATGTCCTTCAGGGATATAAAGAAAAACAAATCTTGTCTTTTGAGCTAAAAGAGCACATCCAAACAAGAATTTAACTGGCTAAAATTTAGTAATTACTGTTAAGTAACTATCAAACTTAAAATCTTACAAGATAAATGGTTAAGATGTCTTGAGTATTTGGGATGGGGGCCTGTGAGTCTGACTGAGACATACATTTTATAGAGTAGCAGCATTGGAAAGGGCTAGTCCAACCTCCCAGCCTCTGCTTGGGTCTCCACTGTCCCAGCCAGACACATCCTAGAATTCTTGTAAACATATCCGGCTCTGTATTAACAGTCCCTTGTTGTATGTGTTCTAAGAGATTAGGTCTCCTGTGATTTTTCCAAGTACACTGAAAGTAGTATGAACTTAAGGAGGCTAGTCAAAGAAATGTGGAGTTACAGGTATTTTTAAAGACTAAATCCTCAATTCCATCATCACTTGGAGGGGAGGGGGCACTTGTTAAGCATTTTAGATAAATAAAACTGGTTAAGCTTACTCTAGTAGAACAGACAATCAAATTTGGGGATTGCTGAGAACAATAATAAGCTGAAGTATGGCTCACAGAATCCTGATACAAACCAGTAAGTCTCTAGTTAGATTTGTTATCCTAAAATTTTTCACAGAATTTTAAAATTGAATTCTGACTTGTGTGGTTAACAAAAGCAGTTAAATATTTTATTACTTATCAAGGGCTTTTAAAATAAATAAATCTGATAGGAAGAAAGGCAAATAAATACCTATGTAGACATTCTATAATAACAAAGAGCCATAGATGATAAAGGAATTAGATTTTAATGTAGAACAGGTGGTTTCTGAAACAAAGGTGTGTGGCACTTATTGTAGTTATTGATGAGACGCCAATAACCAGTAGTGTTTCCCTAGATATATGCCCACCCTCACACAACTTTCTCCATTAATGTTAAATATGCATTTTTATCTTATTAATTATATAAAGCTGAAGGAAAACAAAGTGTTCAAATAATCATAACTTCTACATTACAGGTTCTGTTTAGATGTAGAACTAGAGGGGCCAGGGTAAATGTAGATAAAGAGATATATAGCACCATGCTTCTAAATGCGTCATACTTTTGCAAACAGAAAAAAAGTTTTAACTTTATTATAAAAATTCGTCTGTGGGTCAAAGTAAACACTGTTACATTTAAATTGCTTTTTAAAAACAATTGCGATCTAAAGTCAAAAATCTGAAATTTAATAATATGAGACTTACACTGAATGTAATGTTCATTCAGAAGTTGCTGTGGTCCATTTCATTTATAAGGGACAAATATTTTTACAGTACACTATAGCAACAGCGAAAGCCCTCTCACCCTGATAGGAATGGGTTTGCTGGGTGTCTACCAAGTTAGATTCCTGCTGAATAGAATTAGGCATCCTTAAAAGATTTTAATCCAATACTGAATTGTTTATAAAATGCTTTCTCTATTGTAATGTACTGTAAGTAGTGAAATTCTGTATATATTGCTATTTTCTGTCCATTGTTGTGAACTTATGTATATTAGTGAAATAAATTTTCAGCTTTCATGTTGTTTCCTAAACATTCATAAGTATTAAGAGATTTCTTCCTCTCTTGAGTAACATATGTGGTGATTATTTTCTTTCTAATCCAACCCCAAAAACTAGCTATTCTGAAAAGGTTGATGTTCACTAACAGGAAGAATGATATGACCCTTCATCTCTTAAGGGAAACACGCCTTCGCCATTCCCTTTCAAAACTCTACTTCTTTTACTTGCCATTGACAACTTCTGCACCAACATCAGTCAGTACTTTTCCAGAATGCCTTTATTTTCAGTGTGATAGAATTTAAATACTGAGTCAAAAGATTTATAAAATATAAAACATTTTCTGCTCGGCCATATTTGAAGACAAGCTGAATACATATCTATGTTCTGAATAAGTCCATTATGGATATATATAGGAAGATATATATATATCCATCCACAGATACACACACACATATATATATTTCTGCATATATATATACATAATTCTTTCTATAGTTACAGGAAATACTTCTTTTATAATTCTGATTTTGACCATCCTCCACCATTTACTCATCCACTCATTACCTAAATCTTGGCTTTCTTTCCAATATTGTAAATAATCCATCTAAACTTCTAGCCAGTCCTGTCAGGAGGGTTCTTGCTCAAGTGAGCTGTTAATACTATTTTCCACTGACAACTTCTGCACATCGAGGACAGAGTGTATCTGAAGACTCCGCTGTATACTTCCAACAACGAGGGCATTTTTCTTTCGTAGTCGGCATGACAATTACTTTATAGGAAGACTCTTCACGAATATCACCACCTATAAAAAAATACATGAAGAGAATTTCTGATAGGCATTCAACTTGTAACACTGTTTCTTAATTGGTTTAGCAGAGGCTTCTTTTTCAGTCTTCTGTCCTGCCTTAGTAAAGCTTGTTAGACACTTCCCCATTTGCCCCATTACATATATAGCCAAGATAATGGGATCATACAACTCGACAACTGAAGAGAGCTGAGGAATTAGAGACCCGGTGACTGAGATTAACTGACATCTCCCAAGTCACCGAGTTCTACATCTACTCAGGCAGAGCAGACTTTCTAGCTGTTAAATCTGGATCTAGTTCTGATGAATGACACTGCCTCTCCAGCTACATACATGACTAAGAATTTTTAAAAGCCAAATTATAGTGACAACTACGGTGTCCTCACTCAAAATTTCTCATGGGACAGAAGGAACCAAAAATATCTCCACAATTAATACTCTTAGACTTCGGACTGATAAAAATATAAAAGTAATCTAGTCATTGTACAAAGAGTATATTAACATTACATGGCTGGGCACGGTAGCTCACGCCTGTAATCCCAGCACTTTGGGGGGCTGAGGCAGGTGGATCACCTGAGGTCAGGAGTTCGAGACCAGCCTGACCAACATGGTGAAACCCTGTCTCTACTAAAAATACAAAAATTGGCCGGGTGTGGTGGTGGGCGCCTGTAATCTCAGCTACTTGGGAGGCTGAGGCAGAAGAATCGCTTGAACCTGGGAGGCGGAGGTTGCAGTGAGCCAAGATTGCGCCATTGTACTCCAGCCTGGGTGACAAGAGTAAAACTCTGTCTCAAAAAAAAGGAAAGAAAAAATTATACAAAGCAAATTTAGCCAGAACTTTTACTACATGGTCTATGCTGCCAAGCCCAAATTTGAACTGCTGCCTGTAAGTTAGCTTCCCATCTCCTGGTACCTAAAAGCTATGAAAAACACAAGCAGCATAACCTTTGCCAAGATACCTGCTTATTTTTCTTTTTTTTTTTTTTTTTGAGACGGAGTCTCGCTCTGTTGCCCAGGCTGGAGTGCAGTGGTGTGATCTTGGCTCACTGCAAGCTCCGCCTCCAGGTTCACGCCATTCTCCTACCTCAGCCTCGCTTGGAGTACTGGCGCATGCCGCCACGCACAGCTACTTTTTTGTATTTTTAGTAGAGATGGGGTTTCACCATGTTAGCCAGGATGGTCTCGATCTCCTGACCTCACAATCCACCTTGCCTCGGCCTCCCAAAGTGCTGGAATTACAGGAGTGAGCCACCGCACCCGGCCTATATTTCTTTCTTAATGCAACTCTACCTCCACCGATGAAGATGAACCAGGTTGACTTTTAAAATCTTCTATAAAACAAATACTGACAAAATGCTTGCTTATGAGATACCATCATTAGAATGAGCTCAATAAAACTTCCTCCTTAATCCCTCACAAGAATGGCTAAATATTTTAATCTGGGGTACACATAATAGGAAATTTTAGAATCAACACTGGGGAACAGTGGGCAGGACTGGGCCAGTACTGGGGTACTAAGTATCAAAGCAGGGGGACACTTGGGAGCAAGTCAGACTAACATAAACTTCATATAAAATGACCATTATTTATTTAAAGGACAGAAAGAAAATCTCTCTCCCTCTTCAGTCCCTAGCCCTCAGTTCCCAAGATCATCAGGCAAGATACTTTTAACAGCGGGCTTAGAAACTTGGCAATGGTTTATATTATTTCCACAGAAAGACATATTCTAAGTACACATCTACCTTTAGAATAAATCTAGTCCATGGGAAGTTGGAGATGACCCAGAGTTATTCAATTCTCCAGATGTTACTTGTTACTTTCACCTCCTTCTTACCTTCTAAGTTGATGAGGAATTTCCCTTTAAGCTCAATTACATCTGCAGTCATCTCTCGTGGTTCCTGAGCCAGTAAAGTTGACTCAGAAGCCATCATTAATTCATTCAACTGAGAGGTGCTGGAAGTCTCTTCAGACTGCAGCATCTGTAAGAAAGCATGTGAAAGTTACAGTTTATGTTAAATTTTTACCATAAGCTGAGGATATAAAAAGAGACACTATAAATTCTCATGTTTAGAGAGGAACCTTTTGGTATACCATTGCATCCTGAGCAAATACCATTAAATGCATCAATCCTAATTAGTATAAAAGGTTTTAACTAAAAATGTCCATCAACAGTATTTATTGAGAATGCCAGGCACTTCACTTTGCTAGATCCTATAATTTCTCTTATTTCTAATTGTCGCAAACACACACAAAAAACCTATATGGTGTTTATTATCCTCACTTTACAAATGAAGAAACAAGCAAAGAGAGGTTAACTTGCCCAAGATTCTCAACCAGTAAGTGGTGGAACTGCAGGTCAAGCCCAGGTCTGCCAGCCTCAAAGCCTTTTTTTTTTTTTCATGTATCATTGGGTGAGGAGCTAAAATACTATCTCAACCGGTACCTGCTTTTAGTAATGCACACTGATCGTGGCAATCTGAACAATACACAGAACGCTTCTGAAGTAGACTGAATTTGTCTGATGAACACACTTTACTCTGTAATTTTGATCTTCAAAGTGAGTTTTTAAGCTAACCAACACAGACATTCCTTTAAAAATGAGAGTCCATGAGAAACAGGAGACTCAAAGAGATGAATTTGGTTTTAACAAGTTTATACAATTAGTAACGGATGGAACCAGGACTCCATCTGACAGCTACTTGGTATGATTCCTAAGGAAAATACATTCATGTTTTTGAAAATCCCAAAGTATTTTTTCCAATAAAGATTGATCCAAACAAGCTGTTCTTTTCAGTTTATTACTTAGAAAGACTGAAGTCAAAGGAAACATAGTATGCAGGAAAAAAGGCCAGGACTAGGCTGTGTTACCCTGGCTAGGTCATAGCTTCAGCAGTCCTCACTTCCTCGCTTGTAAAATGAACAGCTTCCCAAGTTTCAAATTTTAAAATGTGAACATCTCATCTATTATACCTACTAGCTATTTCAAGCTCAAATCTTAATCACGCTAATCACATCATTAAAAATTTAAATTGAGCTTACCATACAAAATGAGATGGGTATTTTTTAGAAAACTGACACTAATAAAACTTTTTAAAAATAGCTCTTTCCACCATCTTTCTGCACCGCCACAATGGTGCACATGAATGTCCTGGCTGATGCTCTCGAGAGCACCAACAGTGCCGAAAGAGAGGCAAAAGCCAGGCTTTAGGCCACGCTCCAAAGTCATCATCCGGTTTCTCACTGTGATGATGAAGCATGGTTACATTGGCAAATCTAAAATCACTGATGATCACAGAGCTGGGAAAACTGTTGTGAACCTCACAGGCAGGCTAAACAAGTATGGAGTGATCAGCCCCAGATTTGATGTGCAACTCAAAGATCTAGAAAAATGGCAAAATAATTCTGCTTCCATCCCGCCAGTTTGGTTTCATTGTACTGACAACATCAGCTGGCATCATGGACCATGAAGAAGCAAGATGAAAACGCACAGGAGGGAAAATCCTGGGATTCTTTTTCTAGGGATGTAATACATATATTTACAAATAAAATGCCTCACGGAGAAAAAAATTATATTCATTGACAATTCTCTTCTTAAGCATTTAGACTGGAGAAAAATCACATCATTATGTGAAGCTATAAACCAATCTGGCCAATCAACCCTAAAAATCCCAAGAAGAAAATTCTGATGGCCCTTCTGGAAATAAAAACAGGATAAATGCTTTGAAATATATCTGGTAACTTGCTGGATAAAATGAATTTTCTCCAGATTTCACAAAATAAAAATGGAAACTCTTTTTGGGTTTGTTTTGAATCTGGTCCAGATGGATGAAATCCTCAGGAAACCTGACCCTTAATACAAAACTCCCAATTTTTATACATTCGAAGATGATCATGATGAATTTATATGTCACCTGTCTTCTAAATAGTCCTGAGGCCTTTGATTTGAAACAGAACTTTATTTATTCCTTCCTTGTCCCTACACAGTGACATATGCGTGTTACATGCATAGAACATGTTTTACAAGACATGGAAAAGAACATGGTGAAGTAGGAAACAAAGAATCAGTGATAATATCAGGATTAGAAGACAAACCCTAATTTCTAAATTAATTTTTTTTTAATTTAGACACATTTTAAAAGCAAATTTCAGGCAAAGCACTATGATACTAACACCATTTCAAAAGGGACATATTGCTGCATACCTCTATTATCTCGAAAAGCAGTCCAGGTTCTATCACTATGATAACCTTGTACTCAGCTGCATTTTTGCCAGGGATGCTTCTGAGAAATGAATCTCGCATTGCACACGCACTCTCCACAGCTTCTTCCAACCCGGGCTTCTTCCAGATAGAACTAGTACTAATCCACCCAGTACGGAAAACACTCTTGGGCTCTTCAGAAGAACAAAAACAGTAAACTGCTTTACAAACATCCTAAGCTGTATATGAAGCTCTAACCATTAAATATTTACCATTAATGGGAAATAAGAATTGTTATTTACGGTAATCAAGTGATGAAATATTATGGAGGCATCCTAATTATTTACAAAACATTTCTATCAGCATTGGAAAATATTTGCTACCTTTAAACAAAAGAGAAAATATATAATAAGAGCGCAAAGAAAAAAAAGGATGCTTAGAAAAAAATAATATAGAAATATCCCAATATTAACAGCTATCAGTAGTAAGATTATAAGTGACTTCCCCCTCTTTCTACAACTATCATATAATACTCACTAAAAGCACTATATTTTGTTTTAATATAACCTAAAATATATTTCAGAACTTTTTTTTTTTTTCAGAAGGAGTCTTGCGCTGTCACCCAGGCTGAAGTACAGTGGCATGATCTTGGCTCACAGCAACTTCCATCTCCTGAGTTCAAGCAATTCTCCTACCTCAGCCTCCCAAGTAGCTGGGACTATAGGCGCCCGCCATCACTATGCCCGGCTCATTTCAGTAGAGATGGGGTTTCGTCATGTTGGCCTGGCTAGTTTTGAACTCCTGACCTCAAGCGATCTACCCACCTCAGCCTCCAAAAGTGTGGGGATTACAGGCGTCAGCCACCACACCTGGCCATTTCAGAACATTTATAAAGGTATTTAAGAAAAAAAGTGATTTCTCAACACAGTCAAGCTGCTAATACATTTCAGAAAACACAGAATTCTGAAATTTATCCTACTCCTCTACAAATAGGTGCAGAAACAAACACATGACCAAGATATACTGTCACAGAGCAGTCACTGTAAATGGATAAGTGCCCCTTTTATGAAGCAGATAAAATTAGAAGTTGCACCTTTATCAGGGCTCTTTCTCATTAAGAGAATAAACAAAGTATTCCTTACCTTTAATATAAGGTATGTGCTGGAACACCTCTTCAGCCAGGTGAGGAAGAATGGGAGCAAAAGAACGAACTATTACATCCAAAATTTCAACTAATGCAGTCTGACAAGAGCGTCGTCTGGGGTCATTTTCCTTTTCACAATAGAGCCTGAACAAGAACAACTTATTCAGCAGTTGACAATACTTTACACATTATGGTCACCAAAATAGGACCTGCCTCAGGTTGAGTTTATTTCTAGTGGCTAATCTTATGGTTCTAATCATCTTCTACTTAAAGAATACAATACACTCTCCTACAATTTCACTCCGTCCAGGTGTACCCACCTCCTCGAAAGCACTCATGGCTAGCTATCTCATTCTGTTTCTCAGGTGGATGACAACCAGAGTCTAGACTACCATATTAAAGGACTATGAATAAGTTAGTTGACGGTATTTCACATGTGGCTCCTACCCACTACAATGCTATTAGTGTTTTAAGGGAAGGAGTAGGAGTTAGAATCCCTATGTGCAAGGTCCTTGAGGTGCTGACAGGCTGAGGCTAACACCTCAGACTGGACTCATTATCATAAAGATAGGACCATCACCTGCCCACTGGAGCAACAGATGAAGACTTGGCATCCAGCCCTCTTCTACAAGGATACTGCTAATATTATACACTGTTACCATATAATTGCACATACATCTCTCTCTCTTCCCCTCAGGATCTGAGAACTCCTGAGAACAAGTATTATGTTCATCATCTGATACTAGCAGTGATGATTTTTTGAACACTTTATCAAGCACAGCGTAAAGCACATTATTGCTTTTCCTTCTCAATCACGAGGTAAGTATTATTATACTCATTTTACAGATGAAGAAACAGATTACAGAATAAGTTGCCCCAAATCAGAAAGCTAGTAAGCGGGAGGGCAAACCTTTATACTCAGGCTTGACTCTGGAACCCAGTCTTAATAACTGCACAACACTGCCCGTCGTGCTCATCACTGAATCCCCGACGGTTGCCAAACACAAGTAGACACTCAAAAAATAGTTGCCGAGGTTTTGTTGTTGTTGTTTTCTGAGACGAGGTCTTGGTCTGTCGCCCAGGCTGGAGTGCAGCGGCACAATCTCCGCTCATTGCAACCTCCGCCTCCCAGGTTCAAGCGATTCCCGTGCCTCAGTCTCCTGAGTAGCTTGGATTACAGGCATGTACCACCATGCCCAGTTATTTTTTGTATTTTTAGTAGACACAGGGTTTTGCCATGTTTGCCAGGCTGGTCTCGAACTCCTGGCCTCATGTGATCCACCCGCCTTGGCCTCCCAAAGTGCTGGGATTACAGGCATGAGTCACCACGCCTGGCCATTGTTAAGCATTTTAATATTTAGCCATACATACCTATCTTTGATTATACTGAAATAAAAGTGAGAGAGCTCTCTGGTATAAAATGTCCGTAACAGCCGAACAACTTTTCCAAAATCATATTGTTTGTATAATTCGGTAATCTAGGGAACAAAGTCAAAATAAATTCGGAAGCTGAGACAGGCAAATGAAAATGTTAAGTCATCACAAGCAAAATATGCTCATTTCAAAAATATATTTCAAAGAGACAAATACAAAACAGGCAATATGCAAGAACTCCTGGGAATCTTCAAAATGTCATTTCTGGAAAACACATTTGACTACACTCAGAAAATACTATTTTACTCTGAGAACTACGAAAGAACATTAATCAAGGAAAGAATGAGATTGTAAATAATAAAATCACACCAGTTTTACAACAGCAAACAGTGGAAGTTACCAACAATTCATTAGTGTTCCTTCACTGATGCCTCATTTATTTTTGATTGGGCAAAAGTGGTATGTACACTCTGACTTAAGGGTGCACTAATGCAAATACATTTCCAATTGTGAGAAAACACCATTTTGTTTTTTTTTTTTAAAGACAGGGTCTCACTCTGTCAATCAGGCTGGAGTGCAATGGCACAATCACAGCTCACTGCAGCCTCAAAACCCTGAGCTCAAGTGATCCTCCTGCCTCAGCCTCCCAAGAAGCTGGGACTACATGCACTCGCTAACATGCCTGGCTAATTTTTAAAACTTTTGTAGAGATGGGTTCCCGCTCTGTTGCCCAGGCTGGTCTTGAACTCCTGGCCTTAAGGAATCCTCCCACCTTGGCCACCCAAAGTGGTAGGATTTATAGGTGTAAGCTTCTGCGCCCAGCCAGAAAACACAAATTACTTAAGTCTATATAAAAATGAGCAAATATCTTATGAGACAAATAGGAATAGTCATTTTGGTTATTTCTGTACTTTATTACGAGTAGCACATCTGCAGATAAATAAAGTATAACTCCACTTTATTCCTTCTTGTTGGAGAAATAGAGCTAATTGTAAGAGAAAAATCTGGTCTGGACATATTTCTCTAATCTTTTAAGAAACTCAAAAGATATGATAACACTTTATACCTAAGGCCAACCTGGGAATGTGTGGAATTTAGCAAGCATAACCTTTTCAAGAGTGCTATAGTTACTATTTCCAGCAAGGTCTGTTCCACTGAGATAAAACTAAAATTTTAGCCTAAAATAGTGCTGATATTTCTAGTTTCCAGAAGTTTATTAATTTACATTTACCTTGTTTGCCAAATCCTGCAGTAAATGTAGCATATACTGGTCTATGACATACATATCGTTAACAGGGATGGAATCTGTTTCTGGGTTGAAATCAGCCACATTTCCCAAAAGAAAGCGGAGTGTATTCCTAAGCTATTCATAGGAGGAAAATATATGCAGTTAAAAAAATTTAATGATGCCTTCAATTTTCACTGAAAAGTTATGCTTTTACTCTGTAATTAAGTTGGATTCATCCAACTCTTGTCATTTTCTTAATGGGGTATTTTTATTATCATTCCAAATAACACTACAAATGTAAAAAAAAAAAAAGACAAAAAGTACACAACAAACTCTTATTCCAATAGCCCAGTTATAGAAACAACCACAGGATTTCTATGCCTAATGACTGAATTTTCATTACATTTCTTTATTATGTTAGGACGAATCACCTTTCAGTAGCCCAGTTTATTCATGTGTGTGGGTCAGAATAATGTTATTCCACTTGCTTCACAGGTGAATATAAAGATACATGGAAAAATGTGAAAGGTTATTGAGTACATAAATATATAAAATTAATATCTATACTATGCTATACTACATTTTATATATTATATTAATAAAATATAAAGGATATTATATACAAATTATATAAAGTTACTGGTATTACTACCATTGTTCTGAAACAAATAAATTAACACAAGACTTTTTTTTTTTTTTGAGACGAGGTCTCACGCTGTCACCAGGCTGGAGTTCAGTGGTGGGATCTTAGGTCACTGCAACCTCCACCTCCTGGGTTCAAGCGATTCTCCTGCCTCAGCCTCCCAAGTAGCTGGGACTACAGGCATGCACCACCACGCCCACTTAATTTTTTATTTTTAGTAGAGGCGGGGTTTCACTATGTTGGCCAGGCTGGTCTCGAACTCCTGACCTCGTGATCCACCCACCTCGGCCTCCCAAAGTGCTGGGATTACAGGCATGAGCCACCATGCCCGGCCAACACAGGAGATTTTTAAAAGCTCACAATATATGGAGAACTCATTTTCATTCAGTTTTTTCAGTGCCGAACAAAATGTGTCTCATTTTTTAAAACACTGATTTGGCAAACCTGTCCTTTAGAAATAGGAAGAATAATGGTTCTAACCTTGCTAATATCATCTCTGGCAGCATTGAGCACGGATGGGCCGATTGCAACTTCGGTGAAGACATTGGAATCAGCTACCCACCAGCGAAGGACATCAGCGCCATAGGGAGGCTCTTTGCTTTGATCCTTTTCATTGAGAAAAAATATATAAACACAATGGCTTTCAATTCCAATTAGCTGAACAGATGTTTTAGGTAAAGCTCCTATTCAGAAATTTTTGAGCACAATACAAATATAAACTATACTAGCATTGTAATGAAATGCAGGCTAACAATCTCAAATTAGGCTGTATCTACAAAAAAAAACTGAAAAAAGAAAGAGGGTGCTCTGCAATTTTGTTCAACGCACAAATGCTCATACCTAATCTCTTCCCTGGTCATATCTGTTTCCATCTATTACAGCTGGTAGTTAGACACACAGCAGTGCCAGGGAGGTCTCTATAGTAAGGGCGGGGAAGAGGAAGGCCTGCTTTTCCTTTCACTATTTCCTAGCAACTCTGTATACAAAACAATGAATGGTTACAGGATGTTAGGAGGGCAGTAAAAAGCCACAGGAGTTAAAAAATAAAAAATTTAAAAAAAAGACAAACGATTTATTTCACAAAAGCAGCTCCAAAACCCCCCCAAATTATCAGCAACCTCAGATTTGATGTACATTTAGGACCTGCTTTAAAATGTATAATTTTCAACAACATAATAATGAAATGTGCACTTAGATGTTGTAATCTCATTTTTTCTTTTATCATTTCCATTTAACTATACAATTATACTTTGCACATTTTTTTTTCCACTTCAGACAGTAATGTGCCAACACTGTAACAAGGTTTGAGGGAGGCATACCTCACACAATAGTGTGAAAACCCAATCATCACACTTACGAATCACAAAAGGATCTATACATTTTAAAGGCTCTTAGACAATTAAAAAAGGCCAGGCACAGTGGTTCACACCTGTAATCCCAGCACTTTGGGAGGCCGAGGCGGGCGGATCACGAGGTCAGGAGATCAAGACCATCCTGGCTAACACGGTGAAACCCCGTCTCTACTAAAAATACAAAAAATTAGCCGGGGTGGTGGCGGGAGCCTGCAGTCCCAGCTATTCGGGAGACTGAGGCAGGAGAATGGCGTGCACCCGGGAGGCAGAGCTTGCAGTGAGCTGAAGTCGCACCACTGCACTCCAGCCTGGGCGACAGAGCGAGACTCTGTCTCAAAAAAAAAAAAGAAAAAAAAGAAGAAGAAGGAACAGCATGGTTTGGGACCTAACTGGAGAGTCAGGCCTGAAATGAGGTAAAAGGACCACAATCCTAGCCTCTGCCTTTTTCATTAAAATCATGTGTTATTTGAGAATATAAAAGATAGTTTTTATTTTTACATTGAAGTAACTATCTTAAGGGCTTTGGCTGCCAATTTAAGATCCTTAAAACGAAAATAAAATACATTTTAGAGAATCACCTACTTGTCCTCCATTAACGACAACATCAGGATGAATGACATTCCCAAGAGACTTAGACATCTTTTCTCCCTTTTCTCCAAGGGTAAATCCATGAACAATCACTGTCCTAAAGGGACAAACCAGCTATGTTAATGATAAACACAATTATATTATCTTTTTGAAGATTACGTATAGCTAAAAAGAGTATCTAAGTTTGACACAAAAATATGATTTTTCTTGACTGATTATGAATGAAAACTTTTCTTTTTCTTTTTTTTTTTTTTTTTTGAGATGGAGTCTCACTCTTGTCACCCAGGCTGGAGTACAGTGGCATGATCTCAGCTCACTGCAACCTCCACCTCCCAGGTTCAAGAGATTCTCCTACCTACTCCTGACCTCAGGGGATCCACTTAACTCGGCCTCCCAAAGTGCTGGGATTACAGGTATGAGCCAACCCACCCGGTCGAAACCTTTCCTTAAAAGTCAAATTCAGCTGGGTGCTGTGGCTCACGCCTGTAATCCCAACACTCTGGGAGGCCAAGGCAGGCAGATCAATTGAGGCCAGGAGTTTGAGGCCAGCCTGGCCAACATGGTGAAACCCCGTCTCCACTACAAATACAAAAATTAGCCGGGTATGGTGGCGTGTGCCCGTAGTCCCAGATACTCGGGAGGCTGAGGCATGAGAATCACTTGAACCCAGGAGGCGGAGACTGCAGTGAGCTGAGATCGTCCCACTGCACTCCAGCCTGGGAGACAGAGTAAGACTCCATCTCAAAAAAAAAAATCATTCTTAGCTCATGTATCACAATGGTTAGTGAACTCTCGACTTACACAAAGGAAAACTTTAGATATTTTCATCACTAAACAGATTATTTTCTGAGCTTCTGCTGTGTACTGATTTTATCATTAAAGCTAACCAGTTTAGAAATAGCAAACTACAGAGATAGCAAGATCAGTGGTTGCCAGGGGCCCTAGGATGGGAGTGGAGATTAGCCACAAATGGGCATGAGAAAACTTTTTAGTGTGTTGGAAATGTTATAAAACCTTTTGTGGTGATAGCGGAAAAACTATATAATTCACTAAAAATCAAAAAAAAAAATTTAATGAAAAAATAAAACCAAGAAAAAGGGCTGGGCGCAGTGGTTCACGCCTGTAATCCCAGCACTTTGGGAAGCCGAGACGGGTGGATCACGAGGTCAGGAGATCAAGACCATCCTCGCTAAGATGATAAAACCCCGTCTCTACTAAAAATACAAAACAATTAGCCAGGTGCGGTGTTGGGCGCCTGTAGTCCCAGCTACTTGGGAGGCTGAGGCAGGAGAATGGCATGAATCCGGGAGGCAGAGGTTGCAGTGAGCTGAGATCGCGCCACTGCACTCTAGGTTGGGCTAAAGAGCGAGATTTGGTCTCAAAAAAAAAAAAAAAACAGGAAAAAGTATGTCTTAAAAGAGCAGATTATCGTCTCAAAATTATTTTCAAAAGACAATTTGAAAAAAATAGGATCCGCCCTTCTAATGGTCTTTAAAACACATGTTAAGAAACAAAAACATGTAAAAGGGCCAGGCATGGTGGCTCACACCTGTAATCTCAGCACTTTGGGAGGCTCAGGAGCATGGATCACTTGAGATCTGGAGTTTGAGACCAGTCTGGCCAACATGGTGAAACCCCGTCTCTACTAAAAATACAAAAATTAGCCAGGCATGGTGGCATGTGCCTGTAATTCCAGCTACTCGAGAGGCTGAGGCAGGAGAATCGCTTGAACCCGGGAGGCAAAAGTTGCAGTGAGCCAAGATCGCGCCACTGCACTCCAGCCTAGGCGACAGAGCAAGACTGCATCTCAAAAAAAAAGAAACATGCAAAACGTTCTGGGATGGATTTTTATCCTAAGAGAGCCACAATCTTAAGCTAAGCTATTTAGGAATCTTTCTGATTAGTATTTTTACCCACACGTTTGAAAAAGTAATTATGTGTACTAAATGAGAATACCTAATTTAATAAAATTCACGAAAGCAATGTTTCAGCTCACTAGCCACTGTGGATATTACAAATATAAAGGACATCTGCACTCAGTCTGTCTTCTCTCAACCTCGAATATCCTTCCCTACATTCCTCCTGGTCATGTTTTACCATAGATCAAGATCTAGTTCTAGGCCCGGCATGGTGGCTGACGCCTATAATCCTACCACTTTGGGAGGCCAAGGCAGGAGGACTGCTTCAGGCCAGGAGTTTGGGACCAGCATGGGCAATGGGAGGAGAATGCATCTCTAAAAAAAAAGTAAAAATTAGCCAGGTGTGGTGGTGCATGTCTGTAATTCCAGCTACTCAGGAGGCTGAGGCAGGAGGATTGCTTGAGCCTAGGAGATGGAGGCTGCAGTGAGCTCTGACCACACCATTGCACTCCAGCCTGGGTGACTGAATGAGGTCCTTTCTCAAAAAACAAAACAAAACAAACAAACAAAACAGAACTACATAAGTTCCCCCAACTACTCCAGTCAATGCTGACATTTTCTTCAAGGAGTTATGATCTGCATCACACTCACAAGACACGTTGGTGTTGTCTCCTTTGTCCTTTCTCTTTTTTTTACTTCAAATTCTTACAGGACACTGTAAGCAATCAAGGGTGGTGCCTTACCATCTCTATAGTACTCAGCATAGTGCTTCACACACTGGCAGGTACTCAGCAGGTTGGCTCAGGTATAAATACTTACTTATAAGGTGCTTTCTTCCTTGTGGCCACACTTGTTAATAAGGATGACTGAAACCAACCCCCGAGCTGGTCTTTTCCTTCCAAGTACAAATCTGCTCTTTGGTCAGGACCTCAAAATTAAATATTAAAAGAAAAAGACACCCAGAAATTTAAGTAAATTAAAATAGAAAAAGAAGACACTTATTAATTAATAACAATTAGTGGGGAGGAAGGGAAGCAACTTTACAATAGAGGAAACTGGTAGACGCCACCTTAACCAAGAAAGTGACCAAAGTTACATATCACCAGTAATAACAGGACAGAGATATATCATGTGACTTCTGAAATGATCTATAGAAATAAACACAGTATCCTTTCTGCGATATTCCTACCTAAAATGCATAACATGAATCTAATCATGACAATGCATCCCACAAACCCAGAGAGACCATCTACAAAATAAACCTGTACTACATGAATGTCAAGGTCATGAAAGACACAGAACAAGAACTAGAGAGACATGACAATTAAATGTGACATGTGATCTCAGATTAGATCTTGGGTCCTTTTTTTTTCCTCTTTCCACATAGGAGTGTGGTAAAATTAATAAGTTCTACAGACAGTTAACAGTATGGAATCAATGTTAATTCCCTAATTTTGATGTCTGTGTTGGTTACGTTAAGAGATCATCGTGTTTTGGGGAAATATATATTAAAGTATTGAGATAAAAGATGCATCTTTTCCTCTACATATATATACATAGAGAGGACACATAAAGCAAATGTAGTAGAATGTTAACATTAACATTGGAAAATCTAGATGAAGAAGAGCATGCTGTAATTCTTTATAATACTTTGACTTTTCAAAATAAAAGGGTTTTCAAAAAAAGTAACATGAGGTCTTTGATGAAGATTACATCCATATTTTAAATCTAAACTCACAACTCTCAAAGCCCCCATAATCCCTTTTATTTATAAAATTATGATTTGTCCTTATATCCTAAGATTGAAGATTTAGTGTTGCAAACTTTATGTAAAGAAAGATTACCTGAGTGGAGGTGGGGAAACAAAATTTAAATAACTGAATCAAACCAATTCAATTACACCAATATTACTGAGCACTTGTTACATAGCAGGCATTGTGTTAGATCCTGGGGAAATCTGGACTCTGCTTCTTGGAGCTGACATCTAGTAGGGTAGATTTTATGTTAAACAAGAAGTAACTGTGATGGGGCCGGGTGTGGTGTCTCACGCTTGTAATCCCAGCACTTTGGGAGGTGGAGGCTGGCAAATCCTGAGGTCAGGAGTTCAAGACCAGCTTGACCAACATGGCGAAACCCCATCTCTAAAAATACAAAAATTACCTGGGCATGGTGACGGACGCCTGTAATCCCAGCTACTTGGGAGGCTGAGGCAGGAGAATCACTTGAACCCAGGAGGCAGAGGATGCAGTGAGCAGAGATTGTGCCACTCCACTCCAGCCTGGGCGACAGAGTGAGACTCTGTCTCAAAAAAAAAAAGAAAATAAGTAACTGTGATGGGTGTTACCAAGGAGAAAATAAAGGGTTTAACCTAGTCTGTGCAGCCAGGAAAGTCTGAGATAATGTAAGAAAGTAAACGCATATGCAGTGAAAAAAAATCTCTAGCTAGATTGAGAAAATAGAAAAGAAGATCCAAATAAACAAAACCAGAAGTAAAAAAGGAGACATGGGGCCAGACGCGGTGGTGCACACCTATAATCCCAGAACTTTGGAAGGCAGAGGCGGGTGGATCACAAGGTCAGGAGTTCAAGACCAGCCTGGTCAAGATGGTGAAACCCCATCTCTACTAAAAATGCAAACATTAGCCAGGCATGGTGACAGGCACCTGTAACCCCAGTTACTTGGGAGGAATGAGGCAGAGAACTGCTTGAACCTAGGAGGTGGAGTTTGCAGTGTGACGAGATCAGGCCACTGCACTCCAGTCTAGGCGACAGAGCAAGACTCCATCTCAAAAAAAAAAAAAAAAGATAAAGGAGACATACAACAGACAACAGAGAAATACAAAGGATCATCAGAGACTACTATAAACAAATGTACACTAACACATAGGAAAACCTGGAGGAAATGGATAAACCCCTGGACACATACAACCTACCAAGATTAAACCGGGAAGAAATAGAACAGTAAGGAGTAACTGGACTGAATAAGTAACACAAAGTCTTCCAACAAAGAAAAGTCTAGGACAAGATGGCTTTACTGCTGAATTCTACCAAATATATAAAGAACAACAACAATTCTGCTCAAACTACTCCAAAGAATCCAAGAAGAGGAAACTCTTCTTAAATCACTGTACAAAGCCAGCATTACCCTGATAGCAAAACCAGGCAAAGACACAACAAAAAAGAAAACTACAGGCCAATATCTCTGTTGAACAAAGACACAAAAATCCTCAACAGGTTGGGGGCGGTGACTCACACCTGTAATCCCAACACTTTGGGAGACCGAGGCAGGCGGATCATGCAGTCAGGAGGTCAAGACCATCCTGGCTAACATGGTGAAACCCATCGCCACTAAAAATACAAAAAATTAGCCGGGCGTGGTGGTGGGTGCCTGTAGTCCCAGCTACTGGGGAGGCTGAGGCAGAAAAATTGCTTGAACCTGGGAGGCAGTGGTCGCAGTGAGCTGAGATCGTGTCACTGCACTCCAGCCTGGGCAACAGAGCAAGATTCCGTCTCAAAAAAAAAAAAAAATTCAACGTGGCCAGGCATCGTGGCTCATGCCTGTAATCCCAGCACTTTGGGAGGCTGAGGGGGGCTGATCATTTGAGGTCAGGAGTTTGAGACCAGCCTGGCCAACATGGTGAAACCCCATCTCTATTAAAAATATAAAATTGCTGGGCACGGTGGCTCATGCCTGTAATCCCAGCACTTTGGGAGGCTGAGGCGGGTGGATCACCTGAGGTGGGGAGTTCGATTCCAGCCTGACAAACATGGAGAAACCCCATTTCAACTAAAAATACAAAATTAGCCGGGCGTGGTGGCACATGCCTGTAGTCTCAGCTACTTGGGAAGCTGAGGCAGGAGAATCGCTTGAACCCGGGAGGTGGAGGTTGCAGTGAGCCCAGGTTGTGCCATTGCACTCCAGTCTGGGCAACAAGAGTGAGACTCCATCTCAAAAAAATAAATAAATAAAAATTAACCAGGTGTGGTGGCACATGCCTATAATCCCAGCTACTCAGGAGGCTCAGGCAGAAGAATCACTAGAACTCGGGAGGCGGAGGTCGCAGTGAGCCGAGATTGTGCCACTGCATTCCAACCTGGGCGACAGAGTGAGACTCCATCTTAAATAAATAAATAAATAAATATTCAATGCAATTCCATGCATTGAAGAAAGGAAGGAAGAAAGGGAGGAAGGGAGGAAGGGAGGAAGGGAGGAAGGGAGGAAGGGAGGAAGGAAGGAAGGAAGGAAGGAAGGAAGGAAGGAAGGAAGGAAGGAAGGAAGGGAGGGAGGGAGGGAGGGAGGGAGGGAGGGAGGGAGGGAAGGAGGGAAAGAGCGAAAGAAAGAGCGAAGGAAAGAGGGAGGGAAGGGAGGAAGGAAGGAAGGAAGGAAGGCAGGAAGGAAGGAAGGAAGGAAGGAAAGAAAATAGACCCTTACCTCTCATCATATACAAAAATCAACTCAAAAGAGAGACTTATATCTAAGGTCCCCAACTATGAAACTACTAGAGGAAAACATAGGAGAAATCCTCTAGGACATCGGTCTAGGCAAAACTGTTATGGCTAAGACTTCAAAAGCACAAGTAAAGGAACAAAAACAGACAAATGGGACTATATTAAGAAAAAGTTGCAGCACAACGAAGGAAACAATCAACACAGTAAAGAGACAACCTGTAGAATGGAAGAAAATATTTGCAAACTATTTATCTGACAAGGGACTAATATTCGGATTCAAGTAAAGAAACAGCTAAAACAAGAAACAACAAAAAAAATCTCATTACAAAGCAGGTAAAGGGTCTGAACAGACACTTCTCAAAGGATGTCATATAAATGGACAACAGGTATATGAAAAAATGTTCAACATCACTAATCATCAGGGAAGTGCAAATCAAAAACAGTGACATATCATCTTACCCCAGTTAGCCCAGAATGGCTATTATCAAAAAGAAAGTAACAAATGATGGCAAGGATGTGGAGAGAACAGAACTATTATACACTGTTGGTGGGAATGTAAATTAGTACAGCCATTATAAAAAACATTACGGAGGTTTCTTTTCAAAAAACTAAAAACAGAACTATCATATGATCCAGCAATCCCACTACTAGGTATTTATGCAAAGGAAATAAAATCAGCATATCAACCGGATACCTGCATCTCCATGTTTATTACAACACTACTCACAATAGCCAAGATACGGAATCGGTCTAAGTATCCATCAAAGATGAATGGATAAAGAAAATGTGATAAATACACACAATGGAATACTATTCAGCCATATCCTGTCATTAGCAGAAACATGGATGGAACTGGAGGTCATGATGTTAAATGAAATAAGCCAAGCATAGAAAGACAAATACTCCATAATCTCACTCATATGTGGGAGTTTAAAAAGTTGATCTTATGGAGGTAGAAAGTAGAATGATAGTTACCAGAGGCTGGGAAGGGTGAGAGGGAGGGATGAAGAGCGTTTGGTTAATGGGGATATGGTTAATGGGGATAGAAAAGGAGTTACTTATATGGGATAAATTCTAGTGTTTAATACAGTAAGGCAAATATAGTAACAATTTATTGCATATTTCAAAATAACTAGAAGAGAAGATATAAAATGTTCCCACCACAAAGAAATGGTAAATGTTTGGGTAAATGTTTAAATACCCTCATTTGATCATTACATATTGAATGCACCTATCAAAACACTACAAGTACTCAATAATATGTACAATTATTATGAATTAATTTAAAATTTTTCTGTTGCAGTGAAAATTATTTGGTTAAGAATATTACACTCTGGCCGGGTGCGGTGGCTCACATTTGTAATCCCAGCACTTTGGGAGGTTGAGGCAGGTGAATCATTTGAGGCCAGGAGTTTGAGACCAGCCTGGCCAACACGGTGAAACCCCTTCTCTACTAAAAATACAAAAATTAGCTGGGCATGGTGGCTCATGCCTGTAATCCCAGCTGCTCAGGAGGCAGAGGCAGGAGAGTCACTTGAACTCAGGAGGTGAAGGCTGCAGTGAGCTGAGATCGTACCACTGCACTCCATCCTGGGCAACAGAGTGAGACACTGTCTCAAAAAAAAAAAAATCACACTCTAGAAGTATTATGACTAAACTCTATCAGATTGGTTTTTATGACCATTTTCATGGATTTTAAACCACTCGACGGCGCCAAATATAACATGCACTCACTGCACTTGGTAATGTAAAAATGATTTCAGAAACTGAAAAGCAACAATGGTAGTACCATTAATTCTCACAAAGCCTAAAGCAGTGAATAAACTTTGAAATACACTATACCTCACGGTTTCACAATTGGCATACTCTTTTCTGAAATTCAGAATGCTGCCCAACATGTGCCAGCAGGAAACTCTTCTTCCTACTACCTTAAGTAGTGGTATTGACCTGCATTTTCAATACAGAGTCATGCATTGCTTAACAATAGAGATATACTCTGAGAACTGTGCCCTTAGGTGATTTCATCATTGTGTGAACATCATAGAGTGTACTTACACAAACCTCAATGGGATAGCCGACTCTACATCTAGCCAACATGGCACAGTGTATTGCTCCTAGGCTACAAACCTGCACAGCATGTTACTGTACTGAATACTGCAGGCAATGTCAGCACATGGTACGTATTTGTGTATCTAAACATATCTAAACACAGAAAAGGTACAGTAAAAATACAGTAGTCATCCCTTGATATATGCAAAGGATTGGTTCTAGGACCCAGCAACCCCCCAGCCCCCCACCCCTACATGTACCAAAATCTGTGAATACTCAAATACAGCAGTCCCAAAGTTGGCCCTGCTGAATCTGCATATATGAAAAGTCAGCCCTCCCTTTCTATATGTGAGTTTCAAAATCCTGAGAATACTATATTTTCCATCTGCATTTCATTGAAAAAAATTGCATATAAGTAGACCTGTGCAGTCAGAACCCTGTTGTTCAGCAGTCGAATTTATTATCATCTTGTGGGGCCATCATCATGTATGCAGTCTGCTACTGACTGCAATGTCATTATGTAACACATAACTGTAATTTAGGGAAGCAAAGTACCAAAACTTGCAGTATTTTCCCTCAAATATGCTGGGAGAAAATTATGAAATAATAATTCTAAAAATCACTACAAAAAAATTATAAAAATATGTAACTTATATTTGGCCATTATTATTATGCACGTTTTATCTGTAATAGAGAGAAAACATGAATTTACATGCATTTTGTTTTTCAAATTTCCTAAGCTGAAAGAAAGGCTTAAATGAAGGAAATAGATCCACCTACTAGGAATCCCATTGTGCGATTCGTAGACAAGCTACTTTTCCCACATACCCTTACTCCAGAAAGCAAACAGGGTCTCTCGGGCCAAAGCTGGCCCTTAGTAAGAGTGTGAGGAACTGTGTGATCCATCACTGCTTCCGTGACATCTCATCCCTGTCTCCAACTTCACAGTGATAACAATCCCTGTTCTTCATTTGAACTCTTATCTTTTCACTTAGTTGCCTTAAAAATATTTCTTCTCAAGCATCTAAACATATCCTCTGATACGTGCCTTCTCCTACTACTCCTTTCTAATTCCTGCCCAGTGTCTCTCCTTTCTCTTTATCCAATCAGTCAAAAACATTCCCTAATTATCAGGAAGTATAAAAGTTAGTCGGCTGTTTGTACAGAGAGGAGAAAAGGCCACAAAAAGCAATGTAGTATAGAAGATGAGAACTGAAAATCAGGGTACTTGAGTTCCAGTTTGACACTATTAAGCTATGTGACCATCAACTAACTTGGCTCTAAGTCAATTTCATTTTCTCTTCTGAAAAATGATGAGGTCAGACTATTTCAGTGACTTCCAAACTTCGTTTTACAAAACTGGGTGCCTTGGGGTTGCCAAGTGGCCAAGGAGAATGAACTGGTTGAAAGGAGGAAAAATATTCCCATTTTTAACTATTTTCTGTATTGTAAATTCTAAATGAAATTTCATCTAGAAAAACAGAAAAAGGTTTAGAAATCATTGGATTGAGTAAACTCTAAGGGTCCTTCCAGGTCTAAAATATAGCAGATCTCTAAATAAAGCACACACACACAAAAAGGTTTTGATCATAGATCCCTTCTAAATACCAATTCCATATTTTCAAAACGTCTTGATCAGCATATATCTATTTTTTAAAATTACCTGGAAGAACATGAGACCATGAAGTTCCACTATCAAACCAGATGTCCAAAATATCCTGACCTGGAACATATTCCAAGGCATCAGGGCCACCAACCTAGTAAGACAATGTAAAAGCATGTTAGGTACACAAAGATCACAATACAGACAACAAATACTGTACCCCCAAAAGTCTTCAGAAATGAAATGCAACCATTAAGTTCACATTTTTAGATGAAATTTACAGTATTTTTAAGCATTTCACAGTTAAGTACAACTCCCTCCATTCACATTTAAAAGTATCTGTGGCCACTGAATTACACATTTACCAATGTAATATGAATTGGTTTCTATTTTCTTGAAATTAACTTTAAATTTGGATATTTTAATGTGTGATACAATCAGCTAACTCTACTACAGATCCTACAAAGGCCTGATGTAACATTAGGCACTGTTCTCTCACAGTAAATTACATGAGCTTAGTTAACATTAATCAATCCTGGCCCTCAATGAGGTAACAATTGACCCTCGCATTCCACTACTTTATTAAATACTACACTTTTTTTTTTTTTTTTTTTTGAGACAGAGTCTCACTCTGTCACCCAGCTTGGAGTGCAATGGCACAATCTTGGCTCACTGCAATCTCCGTCTCCTGGATTCAAGCAATTCTTCTGCCTCAGCCTCCTGAGTAGCTGGGACTCAAGGCATGTTGCGCCACCATGCCTGGCTGATTTTTTGTTTTATCTTTTCTTTTTTTTTTTGAGACAGAGTTTCACTCTGTTGCCCAGGCTACAGTGCAGTGGTGTAATCTCTGCTCACTGCAAGCTCTGCCGCCAGGGTTCGCGCCATTCTCCCACCTCAGCCTCCCGAGTAGCTGGGACTACAGGGGCTCACCATCGTGCCCAGCTAATTTTTTGTATTTTTAGTAGAAACGGGGTTTCACCGTGTTAGCCAGGATAGTCTTGATCTCCTGACCTCGTGATCCACCCACCTCGGCCTCCCAAAGCGCTGGGATTACAGACGTGAGCCACTGAGCCCTGCCTTTTTTTTTTTTTTTTTTAGCAGCGATGAGGTTTCACCATGTTGGCCAGGCTGGTTTTGAATTCCTGACCTCAGGTGATCCGCCCGTCTTGGCTTCCCAAAGTGCTTGGATTACAGGTGTGCACCACTGCGCCCGACCTAATACTACACTTTGTTTTGGGGGGACGGGCTCTCACTCTGTAACCCAGGCTGCAGTGCAGTGGTGCAATCTCAGCTCGCTGCAACCTGTCTTCCAGGCTCAAGCCATCCTCCCACCTCAACCTCCCGAGTAGTTGGGACTACAGGCGCATGCCACAATGCCTAGCTAATTTTTATATATATTTTTTTTTTTGCAGAGACAGGGTTTTGCCATGTTAACAGCCCAGGCTGGTCTCAAACTCATGGACTCAAGCTATCTGCTTGCCTCAGCCTTTCAAAGTGCTGGGATTACAGCACTTAAATACTACACATCACACCCAGCCTTAAATACTACAGTTCTATAGTTAAACAAAATGTCTACTTTCAAACTGCATTAGCTTCTAATTTACAGTAAATAAATTTGTTAACTTTACATAAGATGCTTTTTTAACTCTCAAGAATTTCCCTTGTTGTCATCAAGTCCTGTAATACACACAAAAGCTGTTAAATACAAACAGAAATTTACCTCAGATAAGACTTCTTTTGGAAGAAGTTGCTCAGGGGGAAGAGTCCACCAGACATCACTGCCGTGCTGTTCCACTAGTTTAACAATATGCTCAATGGTTTGGCTATTTCAGGGGGGACATGGCAGAATTATTCAATTAACTATTGTGATGAATAACAAACAATTTAAAATTAACAAATAGTGATTTCTTTTCCTATCTTTTTCCTCAAACCTTAGTTTGAAAAGCTGCTATCATTTTAAATTCAATATAAGTAAAAAATTGATTATACATATCCTTAAAAAGAAAAAAAAAAAGAACTTCTTCTGACCACCCTGTTTCCATTACTGATTTACCTATTTGTTACTAATCTATTTTCTATACAGGTACTTATACTCGAAACCTCCTAATTATCTTTCCTCTTCTGATTTCTGCCTAAATTAAACCAACACATTCTCTCAGTTCTACCTTTGAAAGTTTACAGTGGTTCCCACTCACACTCTATCAGTCCAACCTCATTCCCTGAAAACTAAACTGATGCAATCAATGGTCTGAAAGCACTTCCCCCTACCCTCATCCCTTTACTTTACAAAACAGACCTTGAAATAGATGCATTCCTAAACTGCTTTTATCACACTAATTCTCTGCTTGAAAACTTTCCAGGACTCCCTCCCTGCTTACAGACATCTGCCTAAGATGCAATGCCATACTAGAGCAGAGACTGTGACGACAGATATCCAGGCTTATATTCTGACTGTCACTTTGTATTTATGATCATGCACAAGTACTAGAACTTCTTTAAGACCTAGCTTTCCCTCCTGTTAAGAACAATCTAATTCATTGCTCAGAAACTACTGAACACCTCCAGCGTCTTGGGTACGGGCACTAGAGAGACAGCAGTTGGCAAAATACGCAAGACCCTCCCCTGATGAAACTTAACATTGTAGTAATCCTAGACACTTCCCTCGAACAACTACAAACTAAATGAGACTATACATGTAAAACTTAGTACAGTACCTAACACATGACAGAAAGCCAATCAACCCCTATCAAATAAACAACAGAACTGGTCATATCTTTGGGAAGATAGACAGTAATAAATTATTTGAAAATTAAACTCAAGGAAATAAAAGCATACTATAGTTTCTCACAAAAATAACATTTTTAATTTATTAGAATATTGACTTTATTATTGCAGCTTTGTTGCTATTACAGCTTCCTCTAGTTGCTTTTCATTTAGTCACAGTACATATAATGGCCAAGAGCATGGATCCTGCCAGCAGGGGGCTTTGGCTTAATTTCTGGCTCCACGACTTGAACCTGGGCAAGGCACTTAACATTTCTGTGCCTCAGTTTCCTCATTTGTAAAACACAAATAGTAAAAGCATCATTAAGAGACTTCCTATGAATATTAACTGAGTTAATAAATATAAAACACATAGAACAATATCTGGCACATTTGAATAAATATTATGTACGCATTTATTCAGACTGATTATTTGACGTCAGGTCTGGGCCTGATAATTCACAGATAAATGAAGTGTTTACCAAAAATTGTTGTGGAAGGCAAAATCAAATGAGTATAAATTAAATATGCTCTACAGGCCGGGCACAGTGGCTTACGCCTGTAATCCCAGCACTTTGGGAGGCCAAGGCGGGTGGATCACGAGGTCAGGAGATTGAGACCATTCCGGCTAACATGGTGAAACCCCATCTCTATTAAATACAAAAAAATTAGCCGAGCATGGTGGCAGGTGCCTGTAGTCCCAGCTACTGGGGAGGCTGAGGCAGGAGAATGGCGTGAACCCAGGAGGCAGAGCTTGCGGTGAGCCGAGATCACGCCACTGCACTCTAGCCTGGGCAACAGAGCGAGACTCCGTCTCAAAAAAAACAATAAATAAATAAATATGCTCTACAAATTTAAATTTGAAATACCTTATAAAAGCTGGATATCACTAAGTTGGTATTCTATGAAGGATAGATTTTAAAAGTATAACGCTACCATCATGTACTTTGAAGAACTTACAATGAGAAAGGAAAATGGGCATAAATGCATGTTTCTAAGACACTGAATCATTTCAGATGGACTTTAACAGTAAAGATAAACTTTTATGTTATCAGACCATAAAAACCTTATGTAATAACTACCTAGTTATATGACAATAGTATTTAGTTACATATTACTATCTTACAGAGTTTGTCCAGAACATTTTCAGTTAAGAAAATATGAACATAGTATAACAGAAAAACCTGAATAAATCTAAAGACCAAAAGAAAAAAAAAAAAACAAAAGATTACAACCACAAAAGAGAGATACTAGTAAAGTACATTTACACGCAAATATATGCACAATTACAGTACATAATACTTCATACTAATGAAATTCTCATTAAAAAATAATAATTCTAAAAATGGGTGTCATTTGCCTTTCTTTTTTAAAATGTTATCATTAGACTGCCAAGTTTAGGTAAAGAGTAAAATAAAACAGTAAATGTATTGGAAAAACACATAAAAATAATATCAAAGTAAAAGTAAATGTCTCAAATTTCATATTAATTTAGCAAATACAGTAGAAATGTTAGGATAAAGAATATTAACCAGAAGCATGTATACATATACCACATATCTTTTTCAAAGCACTTTACAAGCACTTGCTAACTGGATTCACAGAAATACACAGTGGGTCTTGACAGCTGATTTGTTCTGCACCTTAGGGTTCCTTAAATTACGAGGCTAAGCAAGTAACAGTTAAAATCAGGGCTTGATTTGTGTTTCCTAAATCATATATAGTTTGGTGTGCTGTTTTTACTTCTTTATTCTGCCTCTCTAACTCATCTATTAAGACAACACTGTAACTGAATTCACACTCGTACTCTCTGGAGTTTGCTAAGCAATGGCAGAAAGGCTCTTTTACCCAGGTATAGAGTGACGACTGCGTATCAGAGATGAAGTGAGAAACTAGGCAGTCCCAGGAGATTAGTATGTTGACACAGCAAGTACTAAGTCCAAAAACCAGACTCTACCTGTGATTTACTGGAAAATGACAAGAATAAATCATATTATTTTTTGAGTTTCAGTTTCTATAAACATTAGAAAAAGTTGTGAAGAAGAAGACTAGGTGAAAATTTTTATTCTTAAAAGAAAAAGTCCTAATAACTAAAGAAAAGTGAGTAACTTTATGACTATAGATGAAACATACACATTTTATTTTAATTAATTACGTAAATTTTTTTGAGACAAGGTGTCACTCGGTGGCCCAAGTTGGATTACAGTGGCATGATCATAGCTCACTTGAAGCCTTGAACTCCTGTGTCATGTAATTCTCCCGCCTCAGCCTCCCGAGTAGCCGGGACTACAGGCCCACGCCAAGATGCCCTGCTTTTTTTTTTTTTTTTTTTTCTTCGCCCCTCTAGAGATGGGAATCTCGCTTTGTTGCTCAGGCTGGTCTCGAACGCCTGGCCTCATGCAATCCTCCAGTCTTAGCCTCCCAAAATGCTGGGATTATGGGTTGTGAGCCACCACACCCAGCTCCACATCCATATTTGAGAAACCTAAATTCAACTTTAATAAAACTAAGCTCTTTTTCATATTCTTGGCCTGGCACGGTGGCTCATGACTATAATCCTAGCACTTTGGGAGGCCAAGGCAAGAGGATCACTTGAGCCCAGGAGTTCAAGACCAGCCTGGGTAACATAGTAAAGACCCCACATCTATTTTAAAAAAATAAAAATGAGTTCTTTTTCATATTCCTAAATATCAGAAAATTCAGTGACATTTTAAATGTTATTTAACTATATTCAAGTAACCTACTAAGTATATAACTAAAAGCATTAAGAAAGAAATATTCCAATTTTGCTGTTGGCATGTTATTAAAGCAACCATAAAATCCTACCAAGTTTAGTCAGATACCTCTAATCTAAAATTCATTTTAATTGCTACATTTTTTATAATGATATTAGTAATTTAGTTATAGAACATATTTTAATATAAGAAATGTAATTTTGTGTTTTATATATACTTTATTTGCAAATTTTTTTTTTTTTTTTTTTTTTTTTTTGAGACGGAGTCTCCCTCTGTCCCCCGGGGCTGGAGTGCAGTGGCCGGATCTCAGCTCACTGCAAGCTCCGCCTCCTGGGTTCACGCCATTCTCCTGCCTCAGCCTCCCGAGTAGCTGGGACTACAGGCGCCCGCCACCTCGCCCGGCTAGCTTTTTGTATTTTTTAGTAGAGACGGGGTTTCACCATGTTAGCCAGGATGGTCTCGATCTCCTGACCTTGTGATCCGCCCGTCTCAGCCTCCCAAAGTGCTGGGATTACAGGCTTGAGCCACCGCGCCCGGCTTTTATTTGCAAATTTAAAAAACTTTTTTAAAAACTAACAAAAGTCTCTTAGTGAGGAAGAAAAGTTTTTCCTTTAGCTTACCTAATTACACTTACGAGAAACAACGTAACTACACATTAGCTACACCAATGAAAAGCAATCCTGCAATCATTTTTAAAAATCCAATTTCAGAAAGGCTATTGTAAATAAAACAACATACTTCAGACTTTTTTTCCTTGTTACATATGTATAGGAATCAGAACAAAAGAAAAATTTGTTCAATGTATCCAAAAGAAACATGAAACATTTTTAAGGGAAGAAGCTTTATCTCATTAAGATAGCAAGTCTCACTAATATTTAGAGAGCAAGACTTCCTTCCTTCCTTTATATTGTGAATTATGAAAACATCATGTTCTAAATAAAGTCTACTAAATGTACTTTAGTAAGCATTATGTTCTATAATTAGGTTCTATTTTGAGATTCTAGATAAATTATTTATATTTTTAAAACAATAAAGTTGGCCGGGTGCGGTGGCTCAAGCCTGTAATCCCAGCACTTTGGGAGGCCGAGACGGGCGGATCACGAGGTCAGGAGATCGAGACCATCCTGGCTAACACAGTGAAACCCCGTCTCTACTAAAAAATACAAAAAACTAGCCGGGCGAGGTGGCGGGCGCCTGTAGTCCCAGCTACTCGGGAGGCTGAGGCAGGAGAATGGCGTGAACCCAGGAGGCGGAGCTTGCAGTGAGCTGAGATCCGGCCACTGCACTCCAGCCTGGGCGACAGAGCGAGACTCCGTCTCCAAAAA